CAAGACTTGGCAAACGTTGGCGTCGTCGAGTCGTCCGTCGCGATGAACACACGCAAAATGCACACACGTATGTTGTACACACTTACCGGACTCGTTCCACGTAAACAATCCGTTGCGTCACACACGTTTCTCGTGAAAATGTGGCTTAATACAATGTGAATACGGTGCAAAATCTAAAGCCTTTTTTTTTTTTTTTGTAATTTTGAACGTTCACGGGGAGTTCGAAAATACGAATACAACAACCGCGCTTCTTTCAGTACATTTGTCAGTAATATACTAATTGAAGCCGAGGAAACATTGCCTATATAGTTAGTTTACACGAACTGGACGTATCATGTTTTCGATTCAACGGCATTCGATCACTGACCTCTCGTAAAACAAACACGCTTCAATGACGATAGTTTTTTTTTTTTACGTAATATACATACGCAGGATAATACTTTATCTGCATAACAACGAACGTAGCTAGTTATAAGTTTGATAAAAAAAATTCTTTCTTTTATTGCCCGAGCAGGCAGACGAGCATTCGGCCCACGTGATGATAAATGGTTACCGTCGCTCATGGACGTCAGCAATGCCAGGGGCCGAGTCAAACCGCTGCGTACCTAAATGGAAACACAATACATAATTCAAGACATTCTCGGTACGAAGGTGACATTGTATTGAGTTCAGTTATTCCCGACACGCGTTCCCCCCTGTCCCGAACGCGTCACGTTGTACCGTCACGCGGCTGCGGGGACGCCACGTGTATCAGCCGACGTCGTCGCGACGCTTGCGTAAACATTATTCCGCCGTATTCTATCAACTTGTATTTTGCAAAGGAAACAAGTTTACCGACTAGGCATGTAGTGAAATAAGTGAGGGTTCGGTCTGAAAATAGTAAAATCGGATATCATTTAAGCGTCCGTCGCCTATTTAGTTGGGTGGACGAGCTCACAGTCCACCTGGTGTTAAGTGACACCTTGAGTTATGAGTCCTAAGGTCTCAGTATAGTTACAACGGCTACCCCACCCTTCAAACCGAAACGCATAACTGCTTCACGGCAGAAATAGGCAGGGCGGTGGTACTTACCCGCGCGGACTCACCAGAGGTCCTAGCACCAGTAAGTAACCTATGCCGGGTTGCAACAGTATGTTTTAAATACGTACCTAACACGTGTTTACGAACGACTTCCGCGATGAAGAAATATAACACCGAGTAATACAAATTAAAACGTATATAAAGCGTAATTACTAGTGACAGGGTGTGAGCCAGCACACCACACCCGATTATTTCTGCCTCAAAACAGGCATGTATCCCAGTTTGAAGGGTGAGACAGCCATTACACAGTAGAATTGAGTCATCGACCTCACGTTGCAAGATAGGGTGGCGGTATTTACACGAAGATGCCTAGAAATATCGAAGAGCGCACGCACAGAAGGATCTGTAGTGACGATACATATGATTAAAAAACGTAGTCGTAAGATTGTCGTACCAGAACTATTTAGTGTGTTATTATTAACACGATATTAAATTTTAGCGAGACCTCGATATTTCTCGCTCACATATTTTATTGAAACCTGTTCACGTTTTGTTCATTTCTTAGACTATTTTAGAATCTTCGTTCAAGTATTTTCAAAGCTAGATAGATACTTTTTTTCCAATTGGCTATGATTATGGCTATGGCAGTCACTTATGGTGAGAATTTTGCATTTTCTCGGACAATGCATCATTTTTCGTTCGATACACATCAAACATGCAAAGATTTCCTTTTTTCCTGAAAAATATATCATTAAAACTACTAACAAACAAAGGCAAGTGAACGAAAGCTAATTTCGCAATAACCTCATTCACACAAATCCCTAGACCGTATTGTGTAGTATTGTTAGAATGGAACAATAATTTAAAATCTAACATTTTAAACTCTTCAAGAACAATTGTTTCCGTTCACCGCCACCATGCAGTTTGCGATTGGTTACGAAATAAAGTGTCGCAAAAAAAAAAAAACAACATACGCTGTCTATCAAAACCGGGTATCGTGTAAACTGATATCCGGCCGTTTCAATAAAACCGCACGATAAGGACTGCACTGAACTCCAATTTCGGTTTTGTCGCGCCGACGGCACTGGCAGCCCGTACCGCTGGCTACTTTCAAAAGTGCCCCAGTTGTTGCTAACGGTACAAGTCCATCCCACGACAGATGCTGTATTGGGTTTACTCAAGTCTGTTCGTTACTAAAAACTTATAGGTTTTCAAGAGCGAACTTCCTTTCATGAAACTTAAAACAACTATTAGAATTTCAAATAAAATCGATCATGACTTTTAGATTACTGGTGGTAGTACCTCTTGTGAGTCCGCGGGGGTAGGTACCATCACCACCCTGCTTATTTCTGCCGTGAAGCAGTAATGCGTTTCGGTTTGAAGGGTGGGACAGCCGTTGTAACTATAATAGAGACCTTAGAACTGATATCTCAAGGTGGGTGGAGCATTTACGTCGTAGATGTCTATGGGCTCCAGTAACCACTTAACACCGGGTGGGCTGTGAGCTCGTCCACTCATCTAAGCAATAAAAAAATAAAAAAAGATAACCTGCGATGCATTTCTTTATGTCCAATTCCTGGCAAGAGTTCTTTACAACTTTATTTAAAAACGTTTTGAGTTCTACTGCAAAAGTAATCTCTGAACGATTTGCATAAAAATACATGTTTCATTCGTTATCGAACCGCTCCCTTTTATAAGCGACAGTGTTGACATGATTACATATTCATCAGCTCTCAATCTCGGTTACGTGCGTCACGCAAAATTAAGTTTAAAATAACTCTCCTTTAAATCACGTTTACTCACTGGACTCTCTGTTACCAACGCCCTGAGAGAAGCCGAAAACCGAAGCAAATGGAAGCTGAGGGTACAAAGAGCCACGAAGGGCTTTCAAGGACACGACCTTCAGCAATGAAGTATTCGACTAAGAAGAAAGAAATCACGTTTTTTATTATTATCGAGTTGATATATCGATGTTCATCATATCGTTATAACGATAAACTTGATGCAAAATCGCGAGGTACACACACAATAGTGTACTCAGATATCTAAAATATTTTTTGTTCTTTTCTTTCATTTAGTCAAAAACACTTTGACACCTCATGCTTAATTTTATATATTTATTTTGTTTTGGTATATATTTTGTTTATTGTATGTATATATTTTCTATAATAATGTATTATCTATAGTACACCGCAACATACCTGCTATATTTTTTATATTTTCCAGAATTTCTATAAATTAAACGGTTGTCTGGAAGAGATCGCTTTTAGCGATAAGACCGCCTATTGTACAAATTTATCTGCTTTTTTTGATTGTTTTTGAATGTAAATTGTGTTTTGGTGTGCAATAAAGTGTATTCTCTTTCTCTCTCTCTCTCTCTCTCTCTCTCTCTCTCTAATTTTACTTATTGTATCAAACCTGGTAAAAAAAACTACTCAGTTGGATGTATGCGCTCTTTTTTATTAATAAAAAAATCTACAGTCTTGCATTAAAGATGCTCTTAATAATTTTTTATTTATTTAATTTATGTTACGTTTATATACGTCCTCAACCTATGAGAATTTTTTCGTATTTCTATACAAAGGGCGTCAGTCTGTTTAGAAAAGGTGCCATATGTATTGTTATATTTAAAATAAAATTAAGATTAAAATAATATTATTCAAACACCTTATGTATATTTCAAAATTTTAGTATTATAAATTAAATAAGAATGCAGTCTCGCGTCTTTAATTGGGTATTTTCAGAATATAAATCAATTGCGTGTGATGAAACTAGTTACTAATTAATAAACCCATAAAGGAACCTGATGCAGGAAACATTTAAATGTTTATTGAGTTAAGAGCACAAAATTAAAAAAACTTTATAACTAACCTTTCAACATCGTTTTTCATTTATAAATAGATCAAAAGCTTTTTTTTTGTTTTGTTATTCGGTATATTTTTTATCAGAAGTCTTAAAGTAAGGAACTTATCTTTTGCTTTGCCATTACGGTTATATTCTTATACTACCACACATATTTACGGAAATACAGAAAGTAATTGTATATTTCTACAGTGTTAACAGCTAGCCATCAGATTAAATACTCAGATCAGCCGCCAAGTTCCCAACTACCCAAGTACCCAAGTTCTAGTACTATTTATTTGCGTATCCGCAAAATTTACAACACGCATCTGAACCCTCACTGTGGATTGTGCTTGTATCAGTTCCAGCTCACTTTAGAAAACCTGGAAGATCGTTAATCCTCATCCAGGGTTGGCGTTAGACAGAGATAGTGATTCATACAGTACAGGCACTACTACTACTATTAATGCGCTGGCGCTACGACCCCGAGATGGGTCCTGGCCTCCGACAATAAACATTGCCATTCATTCCGGCGCTGCGCAACACCTTGCCAGTCCGACACTTGGGAGCTCACGTAAATTTCCTTCTACAGCGTCAGACCTGCGGTACTTGGGCCTGCCTCCGGTAGACTCCATTTACAGCCCGATCCTGATCCATACGCACTACATGCCTGAGCCAACCGAGCCTACGTGCCTTCATCTCCCCCAGAATATTTGGCGCACTGGCTTTTTGGTGAGCTAGTACAGGCAAAAAAAAAAAAAAAAAAGGCACAGACGTATAATATGCGTCCCGGTTAATACACTTTATTGAATATTTAAAAATATACTAGAGGATGACTTTTTGATGTTTTTTTTTTGATAATTGTTTTTAGGAATTTTATTTAAATAGAATAAGAAAAAAAAAACGTTATGTTTAAGTTGATTACAGAAAATACGAATAAAACAACATTTTCTGAAAATAAATCGTAGCTAGATCGATTTATCGCCCACGAAATCCTCTGTATACTAAATTTAATGAAAATCGTTGGAGCCGTTTCCGAGATTCAGATTATTTATATGTATATATTTATATACAAGAATTATCTCGTTTAAAGATATAAGGTATTTGAGATTGTACATGTGTGTACGTATGTAGGTTACCTTGTAGCCGGCGTTGTCCTCCAGGGAGTGCTGCTGGTGATTATACAGATGTTGCGAGGGGCTCAGTACTCGTCGCTTCTTGGCGGGCTGGCGAGCCGGCGACACGACCGGCTGGTACTCGGGCAGTGTGTTCGGGGCTTGATTGTTGCGAAACTGCGCCGACGGCTCCGAGTACATGACATGCATTCCCTGAAACAAAACAATACACATATACATTTTTACTGGTGGTACGACCTCTTGAAATATCTCTCGACAATGTATGTAATACTTAGAAATCTACAGACGAAGTGGATTGTTTCCGGGTAACATCACGAATCTTCCTTCTTTATTGTACTCACACAATTAATACAATATAATAATTGCGAAAAGTTATAAAAATGGCGAGCTTAACTCAACAGTTGAGTTATCTACCAGCTAACAGTTCTTAAAGAGGATGAGCTTTACATAGGTGGTTAGAAAAGTACAATCTAATCAATTTAATTATTGATACAGTACACAATAACCATAATAGTAACAATAATAAATAAAAACACTAATACATAATATATCAGACTATATACATACACAATTCAATTTCTTCAGTTCAATTTATTATTAAAAAGTCCGTTTTACTAGGAGTGCCAAACTCAAAACTTTATCGAATTTAAATGCGTACTCGAATACATAATTTACATACTTTTTACTGGTGGTAGGAACTCTTGTGAGTCCGCGCGGGTAGGTACCACTACCCTGCCTATTTCTGACGTGAAGCAGTAATGCGTTTCGGTTTGAAGGGTGGGGCAGCCGTTGTAACTATACTGAGACCTTAGAACTTATACCTCAAGTTGGGTGGCGCATTTACATTGTACATTTCTATGGGCTCCAGTAACCACTTAACACCAGGTGGACTCTGAGCTCGTCCACACATCGAAGCAAAAATAAAAACGAGCTGCAGAAGCAGATGGTAGCGATTCAATACATTTATTTTAAATCGGATTACATATCCATCACATTATTGTTCACGATGAAGAATCAAAAAATATTTTTATGTTTCGAATTCGTAATCTGAAATTTTCAATTCTATGTTTCTTTCCAGTATTACCTCATTAAATTTTAGGTGCTTCAAAAGCAAGTGGAACCCAAAAGATGCATACCATTTTATCATCATACGCAAACCAGTTCATTAAAAAAAAAACCTATTACATCTCACGGATATCTCTCTGGCAATTCATCAAGATGTTTTAAATATTCAAAAATGTGACAAGAAACGCCTAGAATTAACAAGAGCGCCGTCCAATTTTAATATTCGGCGTCTTTACGCCGAAGCAATTTCACAGAGAGCGTCGTAAAAATCGAGTTTTCATTTCGTCAAGCGGACACCACGATTGCATTGAAACACGTCTCCTTTCCGGTAATATGACCCGAAGAAGCAGAAAAATATTTTAGTTAAATTTCTTGTCAAATTTTTATGTAAATTATATTGCTCGGAGTTTCTCTGAAGGATAAAATCCGGAATGAGATTATTCGACAGAGAACTAAAGTCATCGACATAGCTCAAAGAATCAGCAAGCTGAAGTGGCAGTGGGCTGGCCATATATGCCGTAGGACTGACGATCGCTGGAGCAGACGGGTTCTCGAGTGGAGACCGCGCAGCGGAAGACGTAACGTGGGACGCCCCCTGGCTAGATGGTGGGATGACCTCCGCACGGTGGCCGGCAAGAAGTGGATGAGGAGAGCCGCAGACCGGGCTCAGTGGTGTGGATTGGGAGAGGCCTATGTCCAGTAGTGGACGACTGTGGGCTGTTGATGATGATGATGATGATGATGATGATGATGATGATATTAATTATATGTATATAGAGCGCTTGATAATTTTTTTATATTGCCCTTGTAGGCAGACGAGAGCACACGGTCAACCTGATGGTGACTGGTTACCGTCGCCCATCATAGACTTCAGCAATGCCAGGGGCAGAGCCAAGCCGCCGCCTACCGCTCCCACAAGCCTCGTTTGAAGAAGGACATGTCATAGCGCTCGGGAAACACGAAGGTACGAGCGAAGTTTAAAACTGATTGATTATATATAATTATGACATTAATTTGTTCGTAAATTCATGTTAGAACTGGAAGGAAAAAATACTTTATTTATGGAATTTATAAAAAAATACCTGTTCAATGCACCTTCAATGGAACATATAACTTGAAAACTGACCAAGATTGTGGTAGTGCTGAACAATACCTAGTGTAAAATATAATATGGAAAATGCGTATGTATTCGATACCAAGGTTGAATAAATTGTTAGTGAGTGCGTTTTTCTATATAAACTTGAAAGGCAAAGAAATATGACTCTGGTAAAATGATCTGAACATACAAAGAAATCCGATTCGCCTTGAGACAGTCTCGGTTGAATACAAAATCCGCTTATCATAATAAAATCTGGGTACATTCGCAGGGTTTCACTCAGTCAGTGTTATAAGGTAACAGAGTAATGTAAGACCACATTATTTGTATTTGAATAATATTTCGAATCATACAACTTCAACTAGAATTTACAAGTACTTTCGTAGACAAAACAAGTAATTTCGTAAAGTAAACAGAGTGTTGTTTTTCGATTGTATTTGCTTATTTTGGTAGACGAATTAGATAGACAAGCATCAAACCTAATTGTTCAAAATATGCTATTCGAATCAAAATGTATTGAATATAGTAAGGAAAAATAAAAAGCTAACTTTAACACAATTTACAACAATAATGTTTTACCTCCGCTCTAATATCTCGATTAGTATCAAAAGGATAAAAAAAAAAAAAAAAAAGAATTGCTTGTTGGGTTTGCTATTTTAGCATTTATTTAGTTTTTGACCTTTAAATATTAGAATAATGAAATTCCATTGAAACATCCTGTTAGGTTTTTGTTTTTAAAGTATAATTTTTTTTCTCTCTTTCTGTGACAAGCACGGATTATCTCTAATTTTCTCGCTATCTTTTTTTTTTTGTTAATGAGTTTCTGAACGTTTTTCGAAAATCGCTGATGTTAAAAAAAAATCTATTTTTAGATAAATTAATAGATAGATTATAGAGATTAATATATTAATTAATCATAGATAGATTAGATACTTAGAACGGCATTTTTTTATTATATATTGTACTTTATTACTGTTTTAAATAGATGCCATCGAACTGTATTGTATCTTTGACAAACTTAACTTATCTCTTTCTAAATAATTTTAGCCTAAAAGATTTTACACAGCTTTTAGTAAATTTCCTACATTTTGCGCTAAGTTTTTATCGACGATTTAATAACAAATTCCAATAATTGATATCACTTTATTGTAGTATTAATAATAGTATAATAATAATATTGTTACTAGTACAAAGTACCGTAAAAGTGTAAATCTCCTTTGGGAAGCCTTTTTAGTAAGATTTTTACTTACATTAAAATACGTACAACTTGACGCAATAAATACAACCATTACACGGTGTAAATAATTAGTATTACGGCTTGTGATCGTTCTAAATCGATTTAATACAAAAAACGTCAGTTATTCGAAGATAAAATAGTTATTTTGATATTAAACGCTTGCTACTTTATGGATAATTCGGTGAATAATTGGCCAAGGGTAAGTCGACGCGAATGTAATTGAATATGCAATTTCGAAAAGGGCACATCTCTGAAAATGTAAAATGTTCAGGAGATGAAAAAAAAACTGAATATTTTCTAAAGCAGTGTATAATTGAAAATATTAACTTTTGAGATATATTTTAGTGTTAATTAGCTACTGGAATTATTATAAAATGGGTATAAATAAGCCTCAAAACTACATGTATATGAAAAAACTTATTTGACAAAATATGCGACATGTGCCCTTTTCGAAATTGCATATTCAATTAGCGTAAGCATCAATCCAGTCCATATTTTCACATCGACACAATTCAAAAACGAGTCGTGACAGATGCAGAGTTGTGGCAACTGATTTCAAATATGTACATGTTGGCCAGCATTGGCACTCGCATGTACCTACTGGTTCAACCAGGTCAACGGCGAGTAGCTACGCAAATGAGCTGTTCATACTTTACTTACCTGCGCTTGTCGAGTTGCAACCATAATGTACTGATAATTATCTGACAATTTCCGATGTCTCAACTACATATTTCTTATTTCGATACGATTCCCTAGTGCTAAGTGATATGAAATCGAAATCCCCTCAGACACAGCCCACTGAGTTTCTCGCCGGATCTTCTCAGTGGGTCTTGTTTCCGATCCGGTAGTAGATTCTGCGAAGCACGGCTCTTGCTAGGGTTCGTGTTAGCAACGTCGTCAGGTTTGAGCCCCGTGAGCTCACCTAGTAGTTAAGGTTACGCTGAAATAGCCTCTCAAGGCTCTCAGCTTAGGTAGAAGTCATGACCCTCGAACTGGGAGGCATGACTGCTTCACTTCAGAAATAGGCAGGATGGTGGTGCCCACAAGAGCGTGACCTAGCCACAATACCTCCTACCAGCAGCAGAATACATTAACTGTGTGAACGATACAAAAACATCCTATTGTTGCAGGCTATTGTAAAATTCTTTTTTAGGACTGACTAAACTAAGCTCGGTATGTACTTTGAGACTAGGTTTATTACTATACAAATTACAGCTCTTCGCACGCAACGATAAAAACTGGCGAGAATTTATTTTATATTTTTTACGTACTGAATAATTAATTCATTAACAAACAAACAGTGTAGCGTTTATGAACCGTTCGTTAATTTATCTTCATTTGAAAACTTGTATAGTANTATTTTATATTTTTTACGTACTGAATAATTAATTCATTAACAAACAAACAGTGTAGCGTTTATGAACCGTTCGTTAATTTATCTTCATTTGAAAACTTGTATAGTATAGTCTTCACAAATTTTGAAACACACTGCTTACTACAAGCAAACCACGAAATACATAATCTAGTTTTATAAGAGTCTGTTTGTTTCTGTAAACCCACCAGTTTTTTACTGGTGGTAGGACCTCTTGTGAGTCCGCGCGGGTAGGTACCACCGCCCTGCTTATTTCTGCCGTGAAGCAGTAATGCGTCTCGGTTTGAAGGGTGGGGCAGCCGTTGTAACTATACTTGAGACCTTAGAACTTATATCTCAAGGTGGGTGGCGCATTTACGTTGTAGGTGTCTATGGGCTCCAGTAACCACTTAACACCAGGTGGGCCGTGAGCTTGTCCACCC